GTTTTGTAGGTGTCTTTCCTGGCTCCATATGATAACAACCTGAGTGAAGAAGTGTATCACAGACAACACCCCGCGGGACCGCCTCTGACGGCGCTAAGCTAGTCCGGGCGGAGGCAGGGGTATATTTTTTTTTCGCGATTTGAAGAATGTTTTGGCCCACCTTCTGACTGCGCGCCCGAAAAACCTCGCGCGGGGAGATAAACAAGAGAGAGAGACAAAGCAGACGTGCCTCCTTTTGAAGTGGTGTATGAAAACAGCACCTCTGCTCTGGCGGCCGCGGCACCAGGAGGGAAACCCAAGCGTGAAGGTAGGGTGAAGGTGCAAACCGGGGACCGCGCGGAGAGAAGATGGAAAAGACAGTCCAGATATGAGAGTGGTGTGTGTGTGTTGTGTTGTGTGTGTGTGTGTGTGTGTGTGTGTGTGTGCACTTGTTTTGTGTGTGTGTGTGTGCACTTGTTTTCAACTCCTGGTGGGTTCCATAACCTGAGATTCCACTCACGTCATGGGGACTGGTTTTACGTGGTGGGGCCCGAACACCGGACCCCACTGGTCCAAGCTTAATAATCAATGGGTAATGCTTTTCTAACGGTCCTTATGCAGTCTCTGTAAAAATATGGAAAGGACCCCTGGAGGTTTACTTTCCTGAAAAAAGTGTGTTATGTGTCGGAACCCTGGTGGTGGGTTGCGGGATATCAAGGAGGGGCACACTGGGGCAATTTCAGTCCAGCAGGCTGGAGCCAATCATGGAGCAGCACAACAGAGGAAATCAGGTGTCAGGCTAGAAAAAGGTGCAAGTGTGTGGTTCATTAGGCTGCAAGAAATCATGGAGGAGCACACTGAAGCGCACGCTTACAAACCACTGGTAAGTGCTGACTACAAGTCATGACTTCAAATTGTTATATAGAATGATTACAAATTATTTGTTGTTTGTGCAGCTTAGTCAAGAGTCCCTAATTGATGAAGTCGACTCAGATTCTGACGATTTAACTGTCAAGAAGAAACCTGTAAAAAAGTATGGAAAAAGAAAAATCAAAAACACTTTTCTTCAAGACTCGGAAAGTGACGAACCAAAGGCAAATAAGATTGTTATCATGCAGCTGCAAAAGAAGAAAAATGGGGGGCGAGTATACAGCAAGAGACACTTCTGCCTCTACTGTTCAATGTCCTGCCACAAAATGTCCCATCATTTGACTAGAAAACATGGAAATGAAAGTGACGTAGCCAGAGCATTGGCTCTACCTGTGAAATCTAAAGCACGTAAACTTCAGTTTGATTTGATCAGGAATAGTGGAAACCGTGAGCACAATTTTGAGGTTTTAAAGGCCGGCATTGGAACTTTAGTCCCAGCTAAACAGCCAAATTGCCCAGTTAAATCCAGTGAGTTTTTGCACTGTATAGACTGTGGGGCATTGCTTAAGCGAAAGTCGCTGTGGAGGCATGTGGCCAGGTGCCGGCTTTCACAGAAAGATGCCCAGGCTAAACCAGGTAGAAGTAGGGTCCAGTCCCTCTGCTCCCTAGCCCAGCCTGTACCGGAGGGCATCAGCAAAAAGCTGTGGTCTTTAATTTCGGCAATGCATCAGGATGAGGTCACGGGTGTTGTCAAAGCAGAAAAGGGGATTCTGAGACTCGGAGAGCACCTGTACTTAAAACACGGGCATGATAAGACAAAGCATGATTACATTAGGCAGAAAATGAGAGAAGTCGGTAGGTTAATTAACGAAGCAAAAACCGCAGGGAAACTGAAAACAATTAAGGATTTCTTTATTCCTTCCAACTTTAACCATGTGATTGATGCAGTCAGGTCTGTGGCTGGATATGATGAGGAAACAAATCAATACAAGACTCCATCCTTGGCCCTCAAACTCGGCCATAGCCTCAGAAAGCTAGCAGATATTCTTGAATGTGACTCAAAAATGGAGCATTGTGTTGATGAACTATTTATTAAAAACCTCCAACGAAGCCGGCTGCTTTTTGAGAAGAGGTGGGACGTCTGTGTTTCTTCTGCTGCCCTACAGACCCTCCGGCAAGCCAAGTGGAACACTCCGGACCTGCTCCCTCTGACTGAGGACGTTAGAGCCATGCATGCACATATTGAGGTATGTCGACCTGAATATGTGCAAACCCTAATAAGTGAGCCAACGTCTAAGCATTGGTCTAAACTGGCAGTTTTGACTCTTTGTGAGGTCATCATTTTCAATCGAAGAAGGGAAGGTGAGGTTTCAAAGATGCCACTGACAGCCTTTACCTTAAGAAGTAAGACTGGGATCCATTCTGACATTGCTCTGGGACTGTCCCAACTTGAGAAAAAGCTGTGTCAGCATTTTCAACGCATTGAAATTAAAGGGAAAAGAAGTCGGAAAGTGCCGGTTCTTTTGACTCCTGAAATGATTGCTTCGATGGAGGTGCTGGTGGAGAACAGAAGGGCCTGTTCCATCTCTGACCATAACCCATACTTCTTTTCCCGCCCGGGCGCAGACACCCACATCAGGGGATCAGACTCCCTACGCCAGGTAGCCAAAGAATGTGGTGCGGTGCATCCAGAGATGCTATCCTCAACCAAACTTAGAAAGCACATAGCTACTATGTCTACAGTTCTCAATATGAAAGAGAATGAGATGGACATACTTGCCAACTTCCTCGGCCATGACATTCGCATCCACAGGCAATATTACAGACTACCAGAGGGGACACTGGAGCTGGCCAAAATCAGCAAAGTGTTGATGGCCATGGAGCAGGGAAGAGTGACGGAATTCGAAGGAAAGAGCCTCGACCAGATACAAATTGAGCCTGAAGGTAATTCTTGATATTATTAAAATATGTATGATTTTTTTCCCCTAAAGGCCACTTGTATTTTTATTTTCTGTGCGACAGGGAGAGCAGTAGAGATCCTCTCACAAACGGACGGGCTAAAAGAAACTTCAAGCGGAGAACCTTCAACCATTCATCCAGATGCACCCCATGGTAGTGGCAGTGCCCCTTCTGGTAAGTGTACCAGGTGGGGGATTACAGCCAGGCTGCTTGGTCCTCACCCTGGGAGTGTATATTGCTAATATATTTTTATTTCTCTCCCTAGAACGTGTAAGAAAGCCATGGTCTGCATCTGAGGTGAAGGCTGTGGAGAAGACCATGACACCTTTCATACAGACTGGAAAGGTCCCTGGGAAGTCTCACTGCCTGGCCTGCATTAATGCCTCACCAGATGACCTTAGACATCGGACATGGAGTGGCATTAAATTCTATGTCAAAAATAGAATCACTGCAATTCGAAAACAAAATCTAAAATAAAATTCCTTTAAAATAGTTGTTTGGTTTCTATTGACTGTTTTGTATTACTTAAAGTCTTGGTAAAAAAAGATTATGTCTATGGGTCCCATTCTGAACGGCCCTGTCAAAGGGACCCACCAGGTAACAAAAACGTGTATGTGTGTGTGTGTGTGTGTGTGTGTGTGTGTGTGTGCAAAGGCATGTATGTGAAGGCGTGTCTGTGTGTGTGCGTGCCTGCGTGTGTGTGTCTCTGTGTGTGCAAGCATGTGTGCATGTGTGAAGGCGTGTATGTGTGTGAAGGCGTGTATGTGTGTGTGTGTGTGTGTGTGTGTGTGCGTGTGTGTGTGTGTGTGTGTGTGTGATAAACACAGTCAGATGGACGTTAGCAGCTGTGCACCTGCACCGTGCCCAGAGAAAGGGAAACATCTGGCCGTTAGCCGCTAGCTTACATTTAACACGGGATTTAAAGTACAACATCAGCAGTTACAAACACACAACACTAAGAATTAAATAATGAATGATGCATTAAATCTTAGAAATTTGAAACCACTGTATAAAGTACTTTAAAACGTACTTTTCTTTGGTTCTAAGATGCAGTGACCTGTTCTCCCCTTTCATCCCAATTAGATCAGAGCATAACTGTATTTAAATTGTGTTCAATTGTGCGGCCTCTTGCTCTGACCCACCTTTCGCTTCATTTTTTTGCAGATTTCTGTCTTTGCAGGTTTTGGTCTCAGTCTCCGTCTCATGATCTGCGTGTGCTTACTCCAACATCATGTAACCGCTAGAGTAACATGACAGTTACCTTCATTTAACTCTCTGGTCTCTCTCTTTGGCCTTGCTCTGGTCTCTCTCTCTGGTCTCTCTCTCTGGTCTCTCTCTCTGGTCTCTCTCTGGTCTCTCTCTGATCTCTCTCTGGTCTCTCTCTCTAGTCTCTCTCTCTGGTCTCTCTCTGGTCTCTCTCTGATCTCTCTCTGGTCTCTCTCTCTAGTCTCTCTCTCTGGTCTCTCTCTCTGGTCTCTCTCTTTGGCCTTGCTCTGATCTCTCTCTGGTCTCTCTCTCTAGTCTCTCTCTCTGGTCTCTCTCTCTGGTCTCTCTCTGGTGTCTCTCTCTGGTCTCTCTCTCTAGTCTCTCTCTCTGGTCTCTCTCTGGTGTCTCTCTCTGGTGTCTCTCTCTGGTCTCTCTCTCTCTGGTCTCTCTCTGGTCTCTCTCTGATCTCTCTCTGGTCTCTCTCTCAGATCTGGTCTCTCTCTGGTCTAGCTCTCTGGTCTCTCTCTCTGGTCTCTCTCTGGTCTCTCTCTGGTCTCTCTCTCTGGTCTATCTCTGGTCTCTCTCTCTGGTCTCTCTCTCTGGTCTCTCTCTGGTCTCTCTCTGGTCTAGCTCTGGTCTATCTCTCTGGTCTCTCTCTGGTCTCACTCTGATCTCTCTCTGGTCTCTCTCTCTAGTCTCTCTCTCTGGTCTCTCTCTCAGATCTGTCCCTCTGGTCTCTCTCTGGTCTCTCTCTGGTCTCTCTCTCTGGTCTCTCTCTCTGGCCTCTCTCTCTGGCCTCTCTCTCTGCCTCTCTCTGGTCTCTCTCTGGTCTCTCTCTCTGGTCTCTCTCTGGTCTCTCTCTCTGGCCTCTCTCTCTGGTCTCTCTCTCTGGCCTCTCTCTCTGGTCTCTCTCTGGTCTCTCTCTGGTCTCTCTCTGGTCTCTCTCTGGCCTCTCTCTCTGGCCTCTCTCTCTGGTCTCTCTCTGGTCTCTCTCTGGTCTCTCTCTGGCCTCTCTCTCTGGCCTCTCTCTCTGGCCTCTCTCTCTGGCCTCTCTCTCTGGTCTCTCTCTGGTCTCTCTCTGGTCTCTCTCTGGTCTCTCTCTCTGGCCTCTCTCTCTGCCTCTCTCTGGTCTCTCTCTGGTCTCTCTCTCTGGTCTCTCTCTCTGGTCTCTCTCTCTGGCGTCTCTCTCTCTGGCGTCTCTCTCTGGTCTCAGACAAAAGTGATAAAAAATAAGTCAAAAATTGTTTAAATTTAGATAAATGTATAAAGATTTGATGTAATTCAGACTGAGCCTTAAAGGAATAGTTCACCGTTTTTACATACTGACATATGTTCTTACCTTAGACTAGTTAATACGTACCTGTCTGGTCTTAGTCCGTGCGCTCTGTCATGCAAACGGAGCAAAAACGGGAGCACAACCGCAGCCTCCTCTGGTCACTGTATAGGACCCAAAAGGTAGCTCCCGCTAGAAGCTACCAAACTCTTCCAAGTGTTCCCTATTAAATGTATATAGTTACGTGACGTGTTACACTGCAAAGTATAGTAACACAGAAATGTAACAGTCGATTTTCTCAGCGGATAAAACGGGTACTATATTGTGAGGCGTAGTAATCTGAGCAGCGCTACGTCCGCGCACTAACTTCTCTCCGGAGACTTCTCTCTCGCTCACTTCCGTCAATAGAAGCAGCGTGACTTGTAGTACACACAGTAGCAGCGAGAGAGAAGTCTCCGGAGAGAAGTTAGTGCGCAGAGAAGTTAGGAGCGCTACGTCCGCGCACTAACTTCTCTCCGGAGACTTCTCTCTCGCTGCTCACTACGCCTCACAATAAAAACATAGATTTTTTTGTTTATTTCAGAATCAGAATCAGAATCAGAATCATTTTTATTGCCAACGTAAGTAACGGGAGGTCACAGACTTGGAATTTGCTTTGGCTCAGTGCAACAGTCAAAAAGAGATAATAAAAATAAGAATAAAAAACACTTCTAAAGAATAAATTTAAATTTAAAATAGAGTTACAGTTACTATTTACAATATACAAGTGCACATGGTGCACACAATGTAAGGTGACAGCAGTACAGTGAAGTAAAGTGACGTATGATGGGCAGTAAAGTGACTTTATAAAGGGCGGGGGGACAGGTTAAGAAGTGTTCAAGAGTCCAACAGCAGAGGGGAAGAAACTGTTCTTGTGGCGGGAGGTTCTAGTCCTGATGGACCGCAGCCTCCTGCCTGAGGGGAGTGGTTGGAATAGTCCATGTGCAGGGTGAGAGGGGTCGGCTGTGATACGACCAGCCCGGCCTCGAGCTCGGGCGACGTACAGGTCCTGCAGCGATGGAAGGCTGCGGCCGATCACTTCCTCTGCAGAGCGCACAATGCGCTGTAGTCTCTGTTTGTCCCTGACTGTGGCTCCAGCGAACCACACGGTGATGGAGGAGGTGAGGATGGACTCGATGATGGCCGTGTAGAACTGCACCAACATCTGTGCAGGCAGCTTGGCTTTCCTGAGCTGCCGCAGGAAGTACATCCTCTGCTGGGCCTTCTTGATGAGGGAGCTGATGGTCGGCTCCCACTTGAGGTCCTGGGTGATGGTGGTGCCCAGGAAACGGAAGGACTCCACAGAGGTGATGGGGGAGTCCATCACGGAGGGTGGGGGCGGGGGGACAGTGCTCTTCCTGAAGTCCACAATCATCTCCACTGTCTTCTGGGCGTTCATCTCCAGGTTGTTACCACTGCACCAGGACACCAGCCGGTCCACCTCCCTCCTGTAGGCGGACTCATCGTTGTTGGAGATGAGTCCAATGAGGGTGGTGTCGTCCGCGAACTTGATCAGCTTCACGGAGTCGTGGCTGGAGGTGCAGTGGTTGGTGTACAGGGAGAAGAGCAGGGGAGAAAGAACACAGCCCTGTGGGGCTCCTGTATTTATAATCCGAGAGTCCGAGACATTCTTCCCCAGACGCACTCGCTGCTTCCTGTCTGTCAGGAAGTCAGTGATCCACCTGCAGGTGGAATCGGGCACGTTGAGCTGGGAGAGCTTGTCCTGGAGCAGGGATGGCAGGATTGTGTTGAAGGCAGAGCTGAAGTCCACGAACAGGACCCTGGCGTAGGTCCCCGGGGAGTCCAGGTGCTGTAGGATGTGGTGGAGGGCCAGGTTAATGGCGTCGTCTACAGATCTGTTGGCTCTGTAGGCGAACTGCAGGGGGTCCAGGAGGGGGGAGGTGAGGGACTTGAGATGGGAGAGAACCAGGCGTTCAAATGACTTCATGACGACAGACGTAAGTGCTACAGGTCTGTAGTCATTGAGTCCTGTGATCCTGGGCTTCTTCGGGACGGGGACAATGATGGAGGATTTGAAGCAGGCCGGGACATGGCAGGACTGCAGAGAGGAGTTGAAAATGTCCGTGAACACAGGAGTAAGCTCACTGGCGCAGTGTCTCAGAGTGGCCGGAGACACGTGGTCCGGGCCAGGAGCTTTGCGGGGGTGCAGCCTC